TTTCACACACACTCATACACTACAGCCAGTTTAGTTGATCAGTTCCCCTATAGCGCATGTGTTTGGACTGTGGAGGAAACCAGAGCACCCGGAGGAAACCCATGCCAACACAGGGAGAACATGCAAACTCCGCACAGAAACACCAACTGACCCAGCCGGGACTCAAACCAGAGACCTTCTTACCTTTTATTTTGGATGCGATTAATTGGTTCAACATTACTTTTATGAATTGTTTCTCATGTTGTTGTTGAACACAAAGTTCTGAAGAATGCTAAAAATAAAGCAGCCATTGACTTCCATAGCAGAAACTACAAACACAATGGAAGTCAATCACAGTTTTTTCCAACAGCATTCTTCAGAATATCTTCCTTTGTGTTCAACAGTAGAAAGAAACTCAAGCAGGTTTGGAATAAATGAGTGAATAATGACAAAAATATATAATTTTTTGGGCTGAATTATCACTTTAAATGCTCATTAGACTGTTGTATAGTGAACAGATCTACTTCCTGGCGCCAGATGAATAATTATAGTGTCCTGCAGATCAGAAACAGTAGATGTGCACTGCTGTCTAGAGACTGTCACACACCAGCGTTTTGTTTCCTTGAACCAGTTAAACCTGTATTTCCCACACCAGCACTGCAACTATGAGGAAACTTGCCGTCACGTGACTTTAAAGATGAATACAAGTATAAATACAGGTAAACATACTAAATCAGTGTAGTGACATTATAAAGTATTGATTTTCATTAAGCAGGGTTTAAATTAATGGTGAAGATCCTACAAATGTGTCTAATAAACAGCAGTAGGCCTGTTAATGCTGTGCACACACTGTGCTATGTGCTGTATATTTCATTTAAAGCACACAAATAAATAATTAATTTAAGGATTGTTTGGCTTTATTATCATATGCACAGGAGCTGAATTTACCTGAATTATTGAAAAAAAAACAATACAAAAATTAATAAAAATTAATAACGACACATTTAATTTCGGATAATCGATTAATAATTCGGCATGCTGCATTTCTATTTTTGAATAATTATGATAATATTTATGTTTTAATTCCTGTGTTTTAACAAATGTACCTCTATATTTACACTCACACATCCAAAATAAGCGTTTCTGTAAGCCTCTAATGAAACATATAATTTCCATTCATAATAATCAGATGTGCTCGCGCTAGATGTATAAAGTTTATGTAAACGTTAAATCTCGACTGTCCTTCAGCAACAGTGTGTCAGAGTAATGTCTTTAAGTGTGGAGGTTAAAGCAGGTTGATGAATGAACGCGTGTAAAGCTAAAAACACACACTCATAAAGCTGTCAGGCGGTAATAAACTCACCCAAAGAGCTGAACCCCAATCCATGATCTCTGGCGATCAGAAACACAAACACTGAATCCTGTCAGAGACTCCGAGCATCAAACTCCTGACTGAAACACGTCTCAACCCTCCGCGAACACCAGAATCTCCTCATAAATATGGGGAAATTCGAGTCTAGGTGGTGATGAGGTTTATTTGAAACTCGGCATCCTCGGTTTTCTCGTTTTCTCCGGTAAATCAGTCCTCAGGTGAGCGCAGTGTCGGTGTGTTCCGCTAGAGGGCGCTACTGAATTTCTGAATTTTTCCTCAGCACACTTTATGAGCACACCTGAGTTCACAGGTTCGTGTTTTTTTATTAAAGTCCGTTTTAGTTTTTACTTTTTAGTCGGTTGATATTTCATATAAAATGCATTTGAATCCAAATTGGCAACTCAAAAATAAAAATTAAACAAAAAAAGTAAAAACAAAACACGGTAAATAAATAAAACCTTAGATCATCGGGTTTATAACGCTGTGCTGCTATCTGCTGGACTACAACTGTTATTACTCTCTGAAGCGTGGATAAAGATTTATTAAATAGCACCATTTTTGTGACACTATACAATAATTAATACTTTTACATTACCGTAAGAAAGTTAGGGTTGGGTAGACGTTAATAAAATGCAATTTAATATGTAATTTAATAAATAATTGGAATAAAACTTGGTATAGTTATTGTTTTTACGTTACTGCAATGGTTGTGTTTGGGGTAGGGGTTAATAAAATACAATTAATGGGTAATTCAATAAATAATATTAACAATTCTCGTTAGCTTCCTCTGAGGAATATTTCCAGTAGCTCGCTGAATCTCTGCCATGAAGACAAAAAGGGGTCCAACCGTGGTACTAGTAAGGTGTACCTAATAAAGTGGCCAGTGAGTGTATATGAGTGCTGTGAAGGTGGTTGTTCAACCTGGTACCATAGCATCAATCTGCTGCAACTGATGCTATTGCTGTAAACACCTGAGGGGTCGCAAACCGATAGATTATTTTTTAATCAGAAACCAATGGCTTTGTTTTTGCATGTTGATTGGATTTTCGGGAATCACCAAGTGACCCCCCTCTCATTGTCCAGAAACCCCTACTTTGGGAACCACCGCTATATAGTACATACTTTACTAACGGTTATGAAACGTGCAAATTTAACTATAGCCCTTCGAGTTGTTCTTGAGAATTCTAGAATAGCTCTTGCAAACTCTGATTCAATCGTGCAATACCTTTACAAAGATGGATAAACATTTCTGACATGTAAGAAATTGATCGATTACTGATTGTTCCCACTGTACACTAAACAACTACATGACAACAAACAAAACATTACCTATTCAACCATGTCTAAAAACAGTTACACAAACCAGAATTTGGCTGAAATGTTGTCAAAAAATGCACAGTGTGTGCGCAACTCAGGTTAAAGTATGGTGCAGAGTCTCTCCCAGAATCTCTTCTTCTTGGGTGAGTTCTCTGAGGGATTGTTTGTAGATGTTTCCTCTTCTATGGTGATGATGGTTTCAGCATTGGTTCCACTGCTCTGTGCTGCAGGAGCGTCATGGTGTGGAGGATGGCTGGATGGTACAGTGACAGCAGTCAAGTCTGGACTCACAGTATTCGTAGATTTAGGTCTGCACTTCCTGACAGACTTTAGTGATATGGGCTGTGAGTATGGATAATTGACCTTAACGAAGCCTGGATTTTCTGGGATGTTTGGGATTAGCGATATTGGCTGAACGTGTGGATAATTTACCACAATGAATCCTGGACCTGCTGTATTTGTAGCTATAGGTCTGTAGTTGATTATAGGCATTGGTGATACAGGCTGCATGTATGGATAATAACACATTCCTTCCAGAAAGTCCTCTAATCTTATCCTCCTGATGATCATGAGAAGGCCTTTGGAGATCCGGTGAGTATTATATGGGTCGTAGTTTGATCGGTCCTTGTGTTGAGTTATATAGACTTTGTCAAACTCACAGTCATCGTGGAGACTGACGATGATGCGGTCTGTGTTGCTGTAGTCCTCATCAGTACATTTGTATTCTGTGACGTATTCTGGAAGGTTTTCAGCTCCTGCTGAATTGAGATTGCCAACCACATAATAAGGAAAATTGACATCTGGGAGAAGTTTATCTCCATATTCATCACATCTGTTCTCAAACAGGTGAAAACCAAAATCTCCATCAGCTGGATAATAGTCAGTGCGCATGTTGTTGTTATTGTCAAAAATAAGGCATTCTTTGGCAAACCAGTGCAGGAGTTTGAGTCCATGTCTGGGCCACGGCCGGCCGAACCCAGTGTTCCTCAGATGGGGAACTTCATTTAGTGTTGCCAGCATGCTCCAGGACCTTAGCAGGAGAGATCAGCAGATGTAAAATACCAGATCAAGCATTTGCTTTTTCCATGTATGTAAACATTTCAAGTATACAGTGACAGCATCTGTGAAGTGAGCATATATCACTTCAATCCGAGTAAGTGTGATGTCAGTGCTGTGTAGATTATTCATAATTTGTAATTACTTACTGATTACAAGTTACATGACAGAAGGTTTAGTCAGTGGATTGCACATATATTTTATAATGTAATCTGAGGACTTTTGGATTACATTTTTTATGCTAATCCTAATTTGTTGCCACATACAGGGGTTTGACAATGAATCTAAAACACTGCTAGATGGGTCACTGACAAGGACTACCCAACCATTCTGGAGAACCATGTGAGCCAATGGGTCAAACACTGTCTCCTGAAAGTGGTGATGTGTATCAGGATGATAATGCAGGAATACACACAGCAGGACTGGAGACAGAGTGGTTTGATGAACATGACAGTGAAGTTAAACATCTCCCATGGCCTGCACAGTACCCAGATCTAAACATTATGAAGCACTAGGGGCTGTTTTGGAGGAGCGAGTCAGGAAAGGGTTTCCTCCAGGAGCATCAGTAGTGACCTGTCCTGAACACTATTCTGAAGAAGAGCAGCTCAGAATCTCTCTGGACACCATGCTGGACTCCTGACTGTCAATCACTACGGCAGCTGATGCTGTATTGAGGAGGAGGAGGAGCTACAGCAGGTGATACTGCATTGAGGAGGAGCTACAGCAGACTGATCAGCTACTGCGCTCTAACACCAGGCCTTCAGTTTCATTCTCCAACCCCTGTATACTGAAGCACAATAATACTGTACTATTCTGACAGCTTGCCTTTAAGTAAAATTATAAGACTGTTTACTTTTTTATTCTAAAATGTACAAAGTAATCATGCGTTATATGTCTCTGCAGTAAAGTAGACATTGTATTTTAACAATTTTTTTTTGTTTAACTTTCTGCTTATGACATGTATTTTAGTACAAATAGAACTCTTTTCTTCTCAGAGCAGTTGAGCATCATTATTTTAAAGCTTAGTGACTTTATAGTGAGGACCAAAGTCCTAGTGTATACTAAAGTCCACTGTACAACAATATTAGGCTTCAGGTTTCAGGAGACTGATTCAGCTTGTCTGATTATTACATACACAGAACAATCAGTAAATGGCCATGACCGGTTTGACAGCTTTCTTTACAATATTATAATTATTTTACTGTTTATATGTAAATTCTATTTTTCATACTAAATCTTTGTTTGGAGAGATCGTTTGCTCACGTAACCTGACATGCAAACCCAGTATCATGGTTAAATCTGTATTATAGGCGTCAAAGTTCCTTAATAGAGTCACAGATTAACAGTGGAGCAAATTCATGAGCATTTTCAGCAGAAGGAAAAGAGAGAAGCTCTATTAGACTACTCATTTAAACGAGTCTTGTGTTTTGTGATCAGAGCAGCTCAGTTGAATAGCCAAAATGAAGCTTGAATCAGCAATAAAGTAATACTGAATGGTTACCTCCTCGAGTTAAACAGAGAGAAAATGAGATCATACCTCCCTCAAGACCGTCATATATCAAACTGTCAGATGTTTTCCTGCTGTAGGAGCGCAGATAAGCTGAAGACTCGCTCACTATCTGAGAAACACTCGAGCAGACTGGTGTGTGTGTGTGTGTCTCTATAGAGAACCAGTGTACAATACTCTAAAGACTGAAGCAACTTTACTAACTGTGTATTTGTAACTTGACTAAATGAATTCCTCAGTTCATTAGTAGACATCAGCTCTGTTTGGATGATAATTGTTTCTGATGGGGATGTAAATGATTTTTTGGTTTTTTTAAGGTTTAATGTTTGTGTTTTTCTCCCTCCTTTAATGTCATGTGACAGGGTCATGTGGTTTGTTTTTATTCCTCTGACTGTCCCACACGTAAGCTCTATTCCCTATGCAGATAGTGGTACGATTGACTAGTTTTGTAAATGTCACACAGGGTGAGCTCAGGATTTTGTTCCAAATAAATACTGATTAAAATGATATGAGTCAGAAATACACAAGGAGAGGCTCAATGTAGAGTTAGTCGATGATCTCTTATAGTGAAAATGCAATTGGAAAAATTATGTGGAAACAAAATGCTCAGCTCTTTCAGGTGTGACTCATGTCTAAGCATACACTAATTCATTAATTAATGAAGTTTTTCACACACATACGCTAAACACTGTAGTTTATATAATATCAGGCCCTTCGGGATTTAGCAATTTCTGCGATCACTAAATTTAATGCATAATCCAGCAAATGTCTCGATTTTATGGAGTTTGAAATTGTTTTAAATTGCCGCATATTTTGTTCAGTCAGAATACATTCAGTTCATATTCGCACCATCTGCTCTTCTACTCTCTGTGTTTCTTTTGCATAAATTACAGAGATCAATGGTTCTAGAAGTCAAAAAATGTATAAAGAATGAAGATGTGTACAATTATGCATCTTGTACAGCAAAACAATTAAAGAAATGCCACAAAATTTAGTGCCACTTTTGCTAAACTTGCCACATAATACTTTTAGTTGGAATAAGTTATTATTATTATAATTTATTTATTTCTTTGCTAAATATTGAAGTCATTGTTTTATGCACTGATTTCATCATCACTGACATAAAATCTTACCATGGGTAAATTCAGATTAATCCCTTTCACACTGCAGGTTGTTTTGCATTTGAAAAAGTGTGAAGGAAATCAAAACACTGCTGCTTTTCACAGTAACGAAAGCTGACTAATGGAGATTTGCTTAAAGTCCATGTGAAACGGAAGCTCCTGCCGACTTTTATCTCAGTATAATGATGCATTTCCAACTGGGATGTAACTCTGGGTAGGGGGCGGGGCTTTATTAATCTTTCACTTGCAGCATTAAACAGTTGGAGAGGCGTGGCTAAGCATATTTCACCAAATCCTTCAAGCTGATGTCATCAGAGAAGGACCGCCCTTCCAGCGCTGCAAAAACAGCTTTTCTTACTCTCGAGTTTTTGTGTTGTTCAAGTGCAAATATCTAAACTCTAAACGCATTTTCTACACAAGTTATAAAATGGTGTCTTGATTTAAGATGAGTCAAAATGAAGTGAGCTTTTCCTTAAAACAAGCAAAATAATCTGCCAACTGGGTAGTTTTTCCTTTTGACATTCTGCTTTCCCCACTGGCAGATAATTTAGCTTGTTTCAATAAAAACTCACTTCATTTTGGAATATTATTTCTCAAGACAAGGCAGTATGTTTCATTTGTCTGTAAAATGCTTCTTGATTTGAGTATTTTTAGACATTTGGACTAGAAACAAGACAAAAAAAGAGTGAAAAAGCACTTTTGCAGTGAGAGGATTCATTTTAATTGCACCTGTCCACCTGAGTGGATTAACTTGCACTGATTACTTGTTCACCGTTAGACTAACAATTTTTAATTTGCTAGTGTACATTGTAAATTTAGTGCTCATGCTGACTTTAAAGGTGTAGCAAACAAAGATTGGCGTCTCTGCATGAACAACCTGTGGCTTAGACACAAACACTTGCTGGTCATTTGGCAGCAGTCAGATAAATATGATTCCTATAAAGAAGGATGTGTCTAATGATTAGTGATGTACTAGATAAGGGCTTTGATGTGTTTGTTCTATGATGAAACCATTGTGCTTTTTGATGTGAGACAAATCTGGAGTCAGCAGTAATTTATTACCAGCATTTACATATTCTCAAAACAACATGTGACTTGTTTCAAATAACATTATGATTTTTTATTTATTTATAGTCTTTGGCATAGGAAGTGGTTGTGGGTGGTTAATATAATGCAACCCAATACTGCACTGCAAAAATAATCCTGCTTCAAGTCCAAATATCTTATCATTCCTAAATTAAGAAGCATTTTCTAGACAAGCTAAATATATTGTTTTTCAGAAATAATGAGTCAAAATTAAGACCTTAAAACTAGCAAAATAATCTGCTCTTCAAGAGTTCACCCTCAGCTGATGACTGATTATAAAGTGTGTTTGGCATGCTGTCCCGGGAGAGAGCCCTGAGCTCTGAAGATCCTCGAGCCTGGGGCTCCCTCCCGTTTGCAGGGTGAGAGGGGAGTTTGAGTTTGGGTAGATGTGGAGAACTCCCCTGCTATAGTAGATAATGAACAGATAGTGATCGCTCTTAAGAGATAACTACTGACTAGCAGCATGTCTATGCTGCTGATGTGGATTAGTCGATTACCTTAAGCTGCATGTTTTTGGTTTAACTCTGTTTTTATTGAAATATGTTAGTCAGAGAGCCACAGCATCAGATACACAGAATTATTAGACATCAACTGCTCCAATGTGGTGGCAGAATACCATTTCGCTCACGTTTTCTTTCTCTCTGAATAAAAAAATACAATTACACATTCATGCGTTAAGGGAAAAACAAAAAACACACAAAAAAAACACAACACACTTGAACATGAGGTCCCTGATGTGCTGTGCCACGCGGCGCCATGCATTTTAGCATTGTAAACAGGTTTCCTTTGGTGTGTGTTACTTTGTGGATCAGTGACTGCAGGATAAAGACCATTATGCTGTACGCCAACACTAAAGCTGAAAAGCTTTATGATCCTTTTACTGACGGCGATGAATCTTTGCTCCTGACAACAGGTTTGGATCTTTGGTTCCATTTTATAATACTAGACTTACTTTTCTATGAAGGTTTAAACTTTGAGAGTGTTTAAACAAGAGAGAAAAGTGTGAAAGTGTTATTGCCTGTCTGAGAAGTGAATATAAAGTGTGTAGTGAGGGGTTTTACAGTCTTAATACATTTATAATAGTTAAAAATAAATCGGACTCTGCAGATTTCACCTAATGCGGGTTATTTTTAGAGCGAAACTCCAGCGATAAACAAGGGAGCACTGTATTCACATCAGGTACGCTTACTGTACTTGCACTACATTTTTGGGCAAATATTGGTTCTTTAGAGTATGGTTTTTCAGTACTCTTTCCACCACTGGCTATATATCTGCACCGTCCCATTGATCATTTTTAGACTGAACTATCCTCCATTGTGCTTTCATTGTGAAACAGTTTTACAGCAGGACGTGTTTTCAAAAACAATTGAAAATGTTTCCTTATTAGCCTTTGGGATAATCTATCAGTCAATATGTTAATGATTATGAGTAATATATCTCCTGTCTGATATCTGTTTTCCTCAAACAACACGAGACTTGTTAAAATTTAAAAGAACAGCTGAAATGGACAATTGCTGATCTTTGATATAACACGCTGATATATGAGCTAATTACTAAAGATCATTATCATCATCAATTATTAGTTATTTATTTGATTAAAGTTGGTGCTTTTTCCTTCATTCATTTACCTTCAACTTAGCCCCGCATTCATCAGGGGTTGCTACAGTGGAATGAACCGCCAACTTATCCTGCATATGTTTTACACAGCGGATGCCCTTGCAGCTGCAACCCAGTACTGAAAAACACCCATACACACACACACACACACACACACATTACAGCCAAGTTAGTTCACTCATTTCACCTATAACGCAAATCCTTGTAGATATTGTGATATTTACTACATTTATTAATTATGTCTGTTATAAAAGATCTATAACAATGGTTTTAATCAGAATTACTTTACCTTTTTGTTTTCTTCACTACAAAATGGATCATTTTTGTTTAAAGAAGCAAAATAACCGCTAATCTGCTATCATTAACTCAAAATGTAAATGTTGTTTATATATGGAAGTTTCTGATTTCCATGTGAATAACCCTGACCCTTAAATCTAGTGGACATTAATAGATGATAAGAGCCAGAGGAGGAGTCTGAGAGTCTGACAGATATAAAGAGAGTTTGAGCCCGGCTGAAAAACACCAGCGCTGAGGTACTGCTTTATTCCTCACTGAGCTTCACACATTTACACCAGACCTCAGATTAACCTGTTCATCACTCTCTTCTAGGAGAACAGAGCTCTGCTGTGACCTGCTGTGGAGCGACTGAGTAGATGGCAGTAAGTGATCCCGCATCCTTCATACACTCTTTCATATCGCCATCATTATTCTGGACTCATGTTCATTTCTGCTCTCTGTCTCATGTAGCTGATCTGGATTTTGGCAGCGCTTCTCTCTGCTGCTTTGGCCAGTGACTGTAGATTCATGCAATTCGACTGTTCTGACATCTACAACTCAGGAGAAACTCTCAGTGGGGCTTATACCATCTATCCAGCCGGAGACTCTCCAGTCTGGGTTACTGTCAGATGGTCTCAGAAGGGAAAGATGAAGATAACGGAGGATGGACGGTATGAGTGTGACTATTAATCAAACACTCATCAGAACACACACAATGAGTCATATATATTCAATATAAACCCATCACAGGTGATTCAGAGGAGGATGGACGGCAGTGTGAATTTCTATCGGCCGTGGAGAGACTACAAGAGAGGATTCGGGAATGTGGAGGGAGAATACTGGCTGGGTGAGATCTGACATCCGTCTGTGTGTGTTCATGTCCAGTGATTGGTTCAACATATTCTGTGTGTGTGTGTGTGTGTGTGTGCGTGTGTGTTTGTGTGTGTGTGTGTGTGTGGGAACAGGACTGGAGAACCTCTACCAGCTGACACGCCACAAGAAGTTCATGCTGAGAGTGGATCTGGAGGACTTTGAAGGAAGGAGAGGTTTCGCTCAGTACTCGTCCTTCTCTGTGGGTTGTGAATGTGAAGGATATAAACTGCAGGTGTCTGGATTCACTGATGGAGGAGCAGGTACAACACTTTCATTCACACTCATGATAACTCATTTCTGTTGAGGTTATTGTCCTCACTGGTGTTCCTCCTCTCTGCAGGCGACTCTATGACTCCCCATAATGAAATGAAGTTCTCCACTTTTGACAAAGACCAAGACACCTACGAAAAGAACTGCGCCAAAGAGTATCTTGGGGCATTTTGGTATGGATACTGTCATAATACAAACCCCAATGGTGTGTATTTATGGGAAGATGATTCCACTCATTTTGCCATTGGTGTCACTTGGTACAGCTGGAAAAACACTCATGATATGAGTTTGAAATACATCAGCATGAAGATCAAACATCTGTCATAGAGGCTTTTGAGTATTCTCAGGGGGGAAATAGATTCAACTCTTTCTACTGCTGCTGTATCATCTATAATGTTTACTGTACCATAAAACATATAAAATAACAGAAAACTAAAACAGGACACTACAAGATCACTGTAGTTGTTTTTAGTTTTCTGTTATTCTATATGTCTTAATAGTATTTGTGTTAATAGTTATTGTCCTGTGTCCTTAATATTTGGTGTATGCCTGTACATACGCTGCTTGTTGCTCATTGGTTGTCTTTGTAAATGAGAGCTGGTTATTAATTCACTAGCCTTATTTAATAAAGGTTATTATTTTTATGAATGCTGAAAACACTCTGCATTTGAGAATATGTGAAGATAGAAACTAGAAAATGTCTTCTTTGTACAGTCTCGAGTCATGAATCATGAAAAATCACTGTGTTAGACTGCAGTTGTGTCAGTCACTGCATTACACAAGTGGGTCAATGTGATGATCTGTTATTTTAAAGACAAATTTTCAGATTTTCAATCCAAATTACTTTAATAAACATTAGATTAAATCCATTGTGTTTGTATGTGTATGTCATTTCACTTCTTTATGTCTTCCTACGCAGAAAAATGTCTTGAGCGATGTGTTTTTTCCACAACAGAATCACTAAATGAGGAAATCTATGAAGTCGCAACCACAAATAAACTGATTGTATGAGTGTGAAGTCAGAATAGTTGAGTATTGAACATTCAACATTCAACATTCATTTTCTGTTCAGCTTATTCCCTTCATTATTCTGGGATCGCCACAGCGGAATGAACCACCACCTTATACAGCATATGCTTTAAGCAGCAGATGCCCTTCAAGCTGCAACCCATCACTGGGAAACATCCATACATTCCCATTCACACATACACCAAAGACAATTTAGCCTACCCAGTTCCCCTATAGCACATGCGTTTAGACTGTGGGGGAAACCGGAGCACCCGGAGGAAACCAGCGCCAACAAGGGGAGAACATGCAAACTCCACACAGAAACACCAACTGACCCAGTTGAGGCCCGAACCAGTTCAAGTTTAATTTATATTTATATAGCACGTTTCCAACTGCCACAAGGCTGCACAAAGAGCTTTACAGAGAGAAAATAAACACATGATATGAACATAAAACCAGTAACAGCAAAGCAATAGGCACATAATAGGAAAGAACATAGAGAGTATAT